AAGGAAGTCAGGGTTTCTGCTGTTTTACAGTTTTCTGGAAGTTTGTTCCAAATTTTTGGTGCATAGATGCTGAAAGCTGTTTCTCCTCTCTTGGTTCTGGTTCTGGGGATGCAGAGCAGAACCAGAACCAGAACTGAGAGTCTGGAAGGTTGATACAACAACAGCAGATCTTTGATGTATTTTGGTGCTAAACCGTTCAGTGATTTATAAACTAACAACAGTATTTTAAAATCTATTCTTTGAGCTACAGGGAGCCAGTGGAGGGACTTTAAAACTGCTGTTATGTCTCTATCTTCCTGGTTTTAGTGAGGACAGGAGCAGCAGCTTCTGGATCAGCTGCAGCTGGAGGATTGATTTGTTGGACAGGCCTGTGAAGACGCTGTTACAATAATCAATGCGACTAAAGATAAACGCATGAATGAGTTTCACTAGATCTGGCTGAGACATTAGTCCTCTAATCCTGGAGATGTTCTTCAGTGATAGAAGGCCGACTTTGTAACTGTCTTTATGTAGCTCTGAAGTTCAGGTGTGAGTTCATCACTACTCCCAGGTTTCGGACCTGATCTCTAGTTTTTAGTTGTAATAACTGAAGCTGTGCATTGACTCTAGATCTATAGCTCTAGATCTATAGCTCTAGATCTATAGCTCTAGATCTATAGCTCTAGATTGTTCCTCTTTAGGTCCAAAAATAATGACTTCAGTTTTGTTTCTGTTCAGCTGGAGAAAGTTTTGGCACATCCACACATTTATCCGTTCTAAGCATTTATTCAGTGATTGGATGGGGTCAAAGGTCACCTGGTGACATCATAATGTAGAGCTGAGTATCATCTGCATAGTTATGGTAGCTAATATTATTTCCTGTTATAACCTGAGCTAGTGGGAGAATATATGAATAAGAGGGGTCTTTGGATTGAACCTAGGCTGTGACCTTTGACCTCTTTGATGAGAAGTTTCCAATTGAAACAAAGAAATCCCTGTTCTTTATGTAAGATTCAAACCAGTCGAGCACCGAACCGGAGAGTCCAACCCAACTCTCCTGTCCATTCAGTAATATGTCAAAAGCTGCACTGAGGTCCAACAGAACCAGCACCGTGGTTCTCCCACAGTCTGTATTTATATGGATATCATTGAATACTTTGACTAGGCCAGTCTCCGTGCTGTGGTGAGCACGAAAACCAGATTGGAAAGAGTCAAAGCAGTTGGTCATCATGAGGAAACTATTTAATTGTTTACACTGTTTTTTCAATAACTTTGCTGATGAATGGGAGGTCAGAGGTCAGAGGTCGGCCTGTAATTCTGCAATAGTGATTTGTCCAAATTGTTCTTTTTTAGCAGTGGTTTGATGACTGCTGTTTTCAAAGCCTGAGGGAAAACACCTGATGTGAGTGATGAGTTTACGATTTGGATCAGATCAGTAACAATAACAGGCAGGACTTTCTGAAAGAAATGTTCTAGAGTTATAGATCTAGAACATCCAGACAGCAGGAGCTTGAACTTCATTGACTTATAATTTGGTCTAGAGTTTTATAATGAAGTAGTTGAAAATGGGTCATTTTTCCTGTATTTGTTTTGTTTGGGTACAGCAATGGTTCTGGCTTTAGAGTTGATGTGCAGATTAATCCTCTGATTTTTTAAAAATTTTCTCTGAAAAGAAGCTGGAAAACTTGTTCCAGGCAGCATTAGATTAAAATTCAGGTAGTAATGTAATAGGAGGGTTTGTGAGCCTGTCAACTGTTGCAAATAAAGCTCCAGCATTGTTAATGTTTTTGTTTATGACATCTGCAAAGAAAGCCTCTCTTGCATGTTTTAGTGTTGAGTGTTAGTGTTGGGTTTATTTTGTTCCCCACCCTGCAAGAATCAACTAAAGACACAAATTACTTTTTCGCAGAAAAGGGGAGAAGAGCCCGACGCGGAGAACCGAACCGCTGCCAAACGCTGTCTGAGATCAACTCCATCGGTTCTCAGTCCCCCACTGCCTTTTATTATCATGTGAATACACAAAGAGATTGGCTTTCTCACTCAGGCATGCAAACAATTGACCAATACACTATCATACAGGATGTTCTGGGAGTCTTCCATTGATGTCCCATTGTTGGGACACAAGGATGACCACTCTCAGGAAACAGATAAAGATCATTGTGGCTCGTTAACACAGGAATGTGTGAGGCATTTCCAACCTTCAAGAGAACACTCTAAAAGACAGTTAAGAATATACAAAAAAGGAAAGGGAAAGAAAACAACATGGAATAATATGAAAACATAACCATTCAATATAAAAGTAAATGAACTAAGATAATAATTTTCCTAACAGTTAGTTACAGTCTTTCTTTATAAATGTCACAATGAATGTGAAGTTGAGTTTTACGCCATTTTGGTTCTGCTCTGCGACAGAGTTCTCTTGCAGATCGAACTGTTTGTGCTTTTCTCCATGGAGATTTCTTTCTACCAGTCAAAACCTTTACTTTAATTGGAGCAATAGAATCAATGATATATGAAACTTTAGACTGAAAATCATCTACCAACTTATCTACATCATTATCAATCAATCAATCAAATTTTATTTGTATAGCACATTTCAGCTACAAGGCATTTCAAAGTGCTTTACATCATAAACACAAAACACAAAGGCATGCAACACCAAGGTTACCAAGGTTTTTTTTTTTCTTTTCCCTTTCTTCCCCCTTCCCTTTGACACGGAATTTAAGCGCCTGTTACTGCCGGACTCCGCTGTCCATTTAACCACGGGTATTCACCGGGCCCCGTTGCCCACAACAGGAAAAATAAAAAATAAAAAAAATAAATAAAAAATAAAAAAATTACATACATATCCACAAAATCAAATCCATACATATTACATTTCAAATGCAACTCTAAACAGGTGTGTTTTTAGTTGAGATTTGAAGGAAGTTAGGGTTTCCGCTGTTTTACAGTTTTCTGGAAGTTTGTTCCAAATTTTTGGTCCATAGATGCTGAAAGCTGCTTCTCCTCTCTTGGTTCTGGTTCTGGGGATGCAGAGCAGAACCAGAACCAGAACCTGAGAGTCTGGAAGGTTGATACAACAACAGCAGATCTTTGATGTATTGTGGTGCTAAACCGTTCAGTGATTTATAAACTAACAACAGTATTTTAAAATCTATTCTTTGAGCTACAGGGAGCCAGTGGAGGGACTTTAAAACTGCTGTTATGTCTCTATCTTCCTGGTTTTAGTGAGAACAGGAGCAGCAGCTTCTGGATCAGCTGCAGCTGGAGGATTGATTTGTTGGACAGGCCTGTGAAGATGCTGTTGCAATAATCAATGCGACTAAAGATAAACACATGGATGAGTTTCTCTAGATCTGGCTGAGACATTAGTCCTCTAATCCTGGAGATGTTCTTCAGGTGATAGAAGGCCGATTTTGTTACTGTCTTTATGTGGCTCTGGAGGTTCAAGTCCGAGTCCATCACTACTCCCAGGTTTCGGGCCTGATCGCTAGGTTTTAGTTGTAATAACTGAAGCTGTGCATTGACTCTAGATCTATAGCTCTAGATCTATAACTCTAGATCTATAGCTCTAGATCTGTAGCTCTAGATCTATAACTCTAGATCTATAGCTCTAGATCTATAGCTCTAGATCTATAGCTCTAGATCTATAGCTCTAGATCTATAGCTCTAGATCTATAGCTCTAGATCTATAGCTCTAGATCTGTAGCTCTAGATCTATAGCTCTAGATCGTTCCTCTTTAGGTCCAAAAATAATGACTTCAGTTTTATTTTTGTTCAGTTGGAGAAAGTTTTGGCACATCCACACATTTATCCGTTCTAAGCATTTATTCAGTAATTGGATGGGGTCAAAGGTCACCTGCTGACATCATAATGTAGAGCTGAGTATCATCTGCATAGTTATGGTAGCTAATATTATTTCCTGTTATGACCTGAGCTAGTGGGAGAATATAAATATTAAATAAGAGGGATCCTAAGATTGAACCTTGGGGTACCCCACATGTGACCTTTGACCTCTTTGATGAGAAGTTTCCAATTGAAACAAAGAAATTCCTGTTCTTTATGTAGGATTCAAACCAGTCGAGCACCGAACCAGAGAGTCCAACCCAACTCAGTAATATGTCAAAAGCTGCTCTGAGGTCCAACAGAACCAGCACCGTGGTTCTGCCACAGTCTGTATTTATATGAATATCATTGAATACTTTTACGAGGGCAGTCTCCGTGCTGTGGTGAGCACGAAAACCAGACTGGAAAGTGTCAAAGCAGTTGGTCATCATGAGGAAACTATTTAATTGTTTATACACAGTTTTTTCAATAACTTTGCTGATGAATGGGAGGTTTGAGATTGGCCTGTAATTCTGCAGTAGTGATTTGTCCAGGTTGTTCTTTTTTAACAGTGGTTTGATGACTGCTGTTTTCAAAGCCTGGGGGAAAACACCTGATGTGAGTGATGAGTTACTATTTGGATCAGATCAGTAGCAATAACAGGCAGGACTTTCTGAAAGAAATGTGTGGGAAGGACATCCAGCTTAAGGGTGATGAGGAAGAGTAGATTTGATTAAATGTTTTCTGTGAAAGAACGTTTTGTGACAGTAGCTGTTTGTCCAAGTGGGTCAAAGAATAAATAACTTTCATAGATAACAGCAAAGTGATCCGACAGGGCGACATCAGTTACAGAGACATTGGAAATATTCACACCCTTACTGATAACCAGGTCCAGTGTGTGTCCTTGAGTGTGTGTTGCTTGTTTGACATGTTGTGTTAAACAAAAATTTTCTGAAATCACAACAATTATTAAACAATCATAATCAATGCATATGAGAGATAAAAGATCATTCAAGTCAGTAAAGAAATTTTCCACATATGTTGGACTTTTGTATGAAGTTAGTGTCAAAGCAGAATGTTAAGATTGCACAAGTGTTAAACTGTCTGGAATGTGTGCATCTCTTTACATTTGGGGTTCTTGGTGACTTTGTGTTGGGGAATGATCTAAGTAGAAGTGTGTCTTCTGTATTGTGCAGGTTTTGGACTGGATAGAAAACCACGGGGAAGCTTTCCTCAGCAAACACACAGGTGTTGGGAAATCCCTCCATCGAGCCCGAGCCCTGCAGAAAAGACACGATGACTTTGAAGACGTGGCACAGGTGAGCTTGTCTGCACTTCAGTGATTGTGTGGTTGACTCCCTACGGGTATCTTGATATTTTTTTTGTGATCTTGTGTGTTTCAGATTATCAGACAGTTTTCAGTGTCAAACAAAAATTGATTATTAAATTGAAAAAGTATTGCCTCAATGAGGATTTTATTCATGAACAAAACAAAAATAGCCAAACCAATATGACCAAAGTGAAAAAATAGCTGCCTTTTGCAGGCTATAATTTGATACTTAAGCACCACTTCATGCTTTTATAATTGAAATGTGATCACTTATCAATTTACCAGCAACTTCGAATGCAGCACCGTCCTGCATGCTTCCTACCTTCTTACTGATTTAGTGCCAAAATTTAAAACCTGAATCACTCTCTCATCTGCAAAACTTGCACAACTTTACAGTTTAAACTGATGTATACGCTCAGTAGAAAGTTCAAAGCACTGCGTAAGCCGCATGGTTTTTGGTGTGAGATGGGCTGGTCTGGGTTTTACAAACTCATGATCTACTGCGATGGCACATTTGGAACCCGGAGCAGATGAGCTACAGCACCAGAGGATTAATCACCAGCAGGCTACCTATTAAACTGCTTGCTCACTCTGTTACCTAAAACTCACACTATGAGATGCATCATATTGAGTTAATGAGAATGAGACGGAACGAGTTTTTAAAATTACTTTCAAGGCAGCTTCAACAGCTTTTGTTGTACATTTTATTCCTTTCGCCACACTCGCAACAAACTTTCTATTTCTGATTTCTTTTTATGTCTTCAGACCTTAGGACAGTTCTTCAACTATATTCTTCAACTATACATGGTCTGCAAGACAACAGTTTATATTGTTGTCTTGCAGACAATAATATAAACTGTTATATTGTTTGGATGTGCTGTGGTTATAAGCACTCATACACACACTGCCATCACATGGTGGTCACAACTCGCTGGTGCTCAGTAAAACATTACACATTACAAATACTGTAATGTTTTAATATCACGAGACCTTGTACCCTGAGATGTTGTTACACCCCTCCAGCTTACTAATGTGACACCATCTGAAAAAAAGTCCTCAGGTTGCGGCTCATATTGCTTCATGTGCACACACAAACCGATTGCCCCTGTCAGGCAGGAGAAGGTTTTTTTCTAAAATGAAGGTCATAGTGTTGCAAATAAATATTGTTTTGATGATGATGATGATGATGATGATGATGGTGGTGGTCCTTTCTCCATCCTTCAGAACACCTACACGAATGCAGACAAGCTGCTGGAGGCGGCCGAGCAGCTGGCACAAACAGGAGAATGTGATCCAGAAGAAATCTACAAGGCCGCCCGACACCTGGAGGTGCGGATCCAAGACTTTGTTCGGCGAGTGGAGCACAGGAAGCTGCTACTCGACATCTCTGTCTCCTTCCACACACACACCAAGGAGGTGGGGCATGAGTTTTAACTTAGGCTGATGATAGTTTTCTGTCACAACGTAGTTTTGAGTGTGTTGAGGAACTGATGGTATGTTTGTGCATGCATGCCTGGGTGCAGCTGTGGTCGTGGATGGAGGAGCTGCAGAAGCAGCTGCTGGAAGACGTGAGCTGTGACTCGGTGGATTCGGTTCAGACTCTGATTCAACAGTTTCAGCAGCAGCAGACGGCCACACTGGAGGCCACACTCAACGTGATCAAAGAGGGAGAGGAACTGATGCAGCAGCTCAGGTAACACACTGCGGTCAGTCAGAGAGGAGAGATGGGGACTGGAAGACGCTCTGTATAATACCAGACACCCCGCAGAGCTATGGTTAGGACACTATTATTTAGTATGCCATTGAAAAGTCAGATCATCATCATTTGTGTTATGACACAAATGATATAGAGTTATATTAATAAGACCCCAGTGGAACATAATGGTTTTCTTCTTGGTTTCTGTTTCTAAAAAAAAAAAATGAGTTGAAATCATAAAGTAGAAAAAAAGACAGAGTGAAATTATCAGTGTACTTTCCTTGTGTCACTAAACATATTTCCGGGTTGTTCAGTCTTTTGATTCTCATCCCAGTTATCCTTTTCCTGGAAAAAATCAGCTGATGTAAATTCATCACAAACTCATTTTGGAAATATATCCGAACAAATTCTCTTTGAGCTGATCAGGTTTGCTTAAAGCAGAGGAAGAACATCTCAGATGCTTATGCTGCTGTGACACACTATTCTGTTCACTTTCTTCATTTTTTTTCTTGCAAGCTTTTCTGAAAAAAACATAAAACAAATTCTTGTTTTTATTGATGATCTGATAAAACAATTCAAACTTCTGTATGAGGAAATGGTTCACACTAAATACAAGATACTGCCTTGATATATTATTTTGTTACATAGCATTGTGAGTATCAATATCGTCATTATTATTGACAACATTGATCCTGTTATTGATGTTATTAGTTGTACTCTTATTTGTGGGAATATTGACAGGACTTTTGTTTTCATTCTTTAGCTTAATACAAAATAGATAACAGAAGTTGAAGTTGTCTTGAAAGAAAATCACAGCATATGTTTTAGAAATTTTAAAAGCATGAAAATCTAGAATCCAGAAACATCCAGTCTGAAAAGACTGGCCTGTCAGTTCAGGTAGATGGTATTGTTTTGTTCCTGATGGTGTGGGTCAGTTTCCAGCTGGTTAATCCTCTCTCCATCTCCAGATGGTGGATTGATCAGAACTCTGGGAGAGCTTCAGAAATTGAGATATTACTGTAGGTTCAATCAGCTTTAATCTTCTCCACATCTCCATCCCTGAAATGTCTGTTGTGATGTTAATGTTCTGTGACTTTCACAGAACACCTGGATTCATGCTGAGTTTTAATGGCACACTTATGGGTTTACTGGATTTTATGTTCGGGTAAAGGGAGGGAATACAAAAATGCTTCACTCTATCCAGATTTTTATTCAGTTAAAAAACTGAAAGCCATACATCATTGTCCTTCTACTTCAGGATAATCTATCACTTTTTGTTGTCTGTGTCACAAAAGACCTAGTAAAGTAAAGTAAAGGTGTGTGGTTGTAACATGACGAGAAAACAATCAAACAATAATAATCTGCACTAATACTGTTGCAGATCACTTTCCTGTCTGGTGAAATATCCCAACATATTCAGAACAAGTATTCTATGAGCTTCTCCGAGATGGGATTCCAAAAGCTTTTTGAACAGTTTTGTTCAGAGCTTCTCACATTTCTTGTGCCCCCGTTTTCGTAGAGATGCAGCCATGTCGACCAGCAAGACGCCACACTGCAGTTCCATCGCGCACATCCAAGGAGTGCTGCAGCAGCTGGATGAGGCTCAGGGCCAGATGGAGGAGCTGTTCCACGAGCGCAAAATCAAGCTGGACATTTTTCTGCAGCTGCGCATCTTTGAGCAGTACACACTAGAGGTGAATTACGGAGAGCATTTCCATTTAACGGCCTCATTTAGTTAACCACCAGGAGCCTGCAGGGTGAACACAAGTCATCAGTTCATATGTTAGCACTAATTGAGTTCTTAAACTCGAGTTTACACGAGTCAGATGAAGCTTTCTTTTTCATTACAGAATTACTCATTCTTCATTCATCTGGTTTGTTTAGATTAGATTAGATTAATATTATTAGTATTATTATTATTATTAGATTATTAGATTAGCTAGATTAGTTTAGATTCACCAATCCAATATTAATATTTGTTTCGGTCCCGATACTGAAACAAATTCTAGATTTGGCATCAGTAAAAATAAGGGCACATCTATGTTTGCCTGCTGAATAATGCCATGCATTATTATTTATTTTACAGTATATTTAGAATGCCTCATTGCATTTTGTAAACCATTTGAATGATTTGTTCCAGTTTATTTCTGACGTTTGACCAAGGTATTCAACTGATTATCTTTTGTCAGTTATCATTTACTTTAAATTGGCTGTTATACTTTTAATTGTCCACTGACTGAACAAATTAAAGTTGTTGGTTTTACATGTTTGACCAATGCCTGTGAAGCTATTGGTGTATTTCAGTGTTCTGTTCTTGTGCAGAGTTAGCAAATAAATGTGTAATTCAGTCTGGGGTTTTTTGTATAGGATTAGTTTTGGCCTTTGCTAAACATCTGAAATTTGTATAGGTATCAGAAGTGAAAAAAGTGGACCAGTGTGTCCCCATTTTATTTGGGCTGACTGAATGACTGTCCGTTTAGGTGACAGCAGAGTTGGACGCCTGGAACGAGGATCTGTCCCGTCAGCTGAGTGACACCAACCGTTCGGGTGGCAGCAGCAGCAGCAGCGGCAGCAGCTCCTCCTCAGGCGGTGCGGAGGACATAAGCCTGGCAGAGCAGCGGCTGAAACGGCATGCAGAGAGGAAGACTGCCATGAACAACATGACCTATGAGGTCATGCAGCAAGGTCAGGACCTCCACCAGTACATCATGGAGGTCCAAGCGTCAGGTAAAGGATGGACATGCTTTCTCAATGAAATCCACACTATACACATTATAGTGAAGTTTCTGTAGTTAATTTAGGTTTGCAGCCCATTGCTTAACAAGTTCCAGTCGTCACACCTCCACCACCGTTTGTGTTGAAATGCTGCATTTGATCTTTTGTCTCAAAATGTGTGCTGCAGTTTACACAAATATTACTTTATTTTAATTTGGTCTGCAAAAATCCACTTTAAGGTCACAGTCAGAGCAAACTTGGCAAACTGCAGCTGAGCAACAAAGGGATTTCAGTTGCTATTCTACCTTTCTCTTCTAGCTGTAGAAACAACACATTCGATCAGATCTCTTGCTGCTGTTGTCAGTCACCTCTGAATTTATGTTTTGTTCAGGGATTGAGTTGACAGGAGAGAAGGACATGGACCTGGCCTCTCAGGTCCAGGAGCTGCTGGAGTTTCTCCATGAGAAGCAGCAGGAAGTCGACATCAGCACACAGCATACACACACACGTCTGGAGCAGACTCTGCAGCTACGCCACCTACAGGCTGAGGTTAAACAGGTAAAAAGCATTATTATCTACCTTTGGTTGGTGTGAACCAGCTGCTGACATTTTGCAGATCTGTGTATGCAATATCTGGGTTTTGCTCTGATCCCAGGCCAGAGGGCACTAGAATAGAAAATCCTAAAAAGGAAATAAATCAACGCTCCAGTTGAGAGAGTTGGGATGGATTTTGTTATTAGCTGGAAATGTCAGGCTAGTTCATGTTGGAAAAATGACAAGAACAACACCCCCTCACCTTCCTCCCAGTACAGCTAAGATGTTTCATGTGCAGATGGGAACATGCTGTGTGCAGACAGGAAGCTCACTGCTGCTGCAGATGGAAGCAGCTGAATAATAGATGAGCTTTAAGGCAACAAGCTAATAATGCTCATCTATGCTGCCTTCTTCTGATCTGGTCTGTAAAACCCTTCATGGATTCACTGCAAAGTTCCAACTCAACATGCTTACAGAAGCTGAGGTCCAGCATGGCTCCTGATCACCGTGCTGATGGCAATCAGATACAGACATCTCAGTGTCCTCACATAACCTCCCTGCAATCTGCACTGTGGGCTTCTGCAATCCTGCATTGAAAAGAAAAACCAGACAATATCACAGAGAAACAACTCTGATATTGTTTCATCACTCGGAGCATGCAAGTATGGAGAAAATGTCACTATTTTTGGTGATCTTATTAAAGTGAGTTAGAGTCACTCTGCACTAACTGAGTTCAGCAACATTTAAATGAGAAATTATGGAATATTTAGAGGAAGCTAACATTGTTTTGAATACTTAAGGAAATTATAGCCAAAAAATTAGCTTTGTATTCTCAAAGATGAAACTATGAAATGATACAATCTACTGAAAACTGGTGGGGATTGTTTTGCTCTTCCAAAGAATAAATAATAACACAAAGCAGGTGGGAGATGTCACAGAAGTGGACTCCATCCTCTTTCTTTAAGACATGCCTGATGAGTAAAATGCCTGAACTCCATTTACAATTCATATTTTTATTTTCCAAATACAGATTTTAAAGACAACTAAAGAACATTTAAACAAATGCTTCACATACATATATTAATATATAATTTCTTTCATTTACAGTTACATAATCTTGCTGCAGCCAGGTATCAGTGAGTCAGAATAAATCAATCTGATTACCACAGATCAAGTCATTAACTAGCAAAGTCGTTGAGGAGAGAGATCTGATGTTCAATAAACATCATGTAATTGTTTTTTTTTCTGTCCAGAGAACAGAACATCTTCATCTTTTTGAGATCTTCATGATATGTTGTTTAAAAGAGAACAAATCAGAGAAGGTGGTTTTGGTTTGATTTCACAGAAGTTTGATTTACTTGAAGTTATATTGTGTTGTTTGAGTGTTCCCTTTATTTTGTTTAGCAGTGTATACGAGCTGCAAACACTGTAGGAGACTGCACTGGGTCATACACTCACCCTCTGCTTTACTAAATCAGGACTAGGTGTTTGTGTTATACTCACATTGGCCACAAGAGGGTGGAAAGTAAGAATTTCAATGTCATGTCAAAACATTTGGAGTCTGGACTGAATTCAAATGATTTCTCCCAGGTGCATTGAAATATGTGTATGCTTCAAAAAGAGAACATTTCACTCATTAGTTTTTCAGCTCTGGACAGAGCTTGTTTCATCTGGTCTATACACAGTCTATTATAATTCTTCTCAGTTTTTATTACCAAAAAGGTAACTTGCTAATGAGTCATAACAGGATGGAGCAGGAGACGGAGAGACAGATCACGACTTTATCTTCAGCAAAGAGCTCCGTTTAGTTTTGGCAATGTTCAATGCTGTAACATACTGTAACACAATATTTCCCAACCCTGGTCCTCAAAGCACAGCAACTTGCATAAATTAGAGGGTCCCCTGCTTCAACACTCCCCATCCAGATGACTGCATTTCAGCAAAATCATATTAATGAGCCATCATTTGAAATCATGAGTGTTGAAGCAGGAGAATGCCTAAAACATGCAGGGCAGTGTGCTTGGAGGACCAGGGCTGGAAAAACTCTGTAGCATGTTGCAACATGCTGTACCTAAAAACCCACCTGTTTGGAGTTGTTTTTGAAACAAAATGCATTAAGAATTTAATGGTGACACTTGACTAAATGTAATGTTTGAGTTGTCAATTTTTTGTTGCATGACTTTGCATTTTTGTGTCTTTATCATATCAAGCACTTTGCTTTGTTGCCTTGTTGCTGAAATGTGCTATGGAAATAAAAATCTATTGATTGATTGATCAACATGCTTAGAGTAGAGTAACATGCCATAACATGTTGTAACATGATGTAAAATGCTGTCGCTGTGTCTTCGTGGCCCCGCAGGTACTGGGTTGGATCCGTAATGGTGAGTCCATGTTGAATGCCAGCATGGTGAACGCCAGCTCTCTGTCTGAAGCCGAACAGCTGCAGAGGGAGCATGAACAGTTCCAGATGGCTATAGAGGTACACACACTCACAGATCCTAATTACAGTTACTTAAAGCGGGTCCATTCTCCTTGGGCAGTAATTATTTCAGTGTGTATTGGACTGAAGAGAAGCAGATGAGGCACACACATCCCTGGTTGCTCTGTTTGTGGGGAACCTTCCTGATCACAATAGATGCTTTATTCTCTTCTTCTTTCATTTCCTAAATGAACATATGATCTGAACCTTAACCAACAACGAGCTCACACTCTCAGAGGGAATGTCGCCTCTTAGTGCAAGATCAGTCATCCTGCCCCCTTTACAGTAGCTATAGGAAAACAACCATACACACACACTTTGTGATCTATGTTTGAACAAGGCTTGCCTCAATAATTACTTTATTCTGCATTGATCTTGAGGAATAACAGATTCTCAGTCTCTCTAACATACATACACACATATGCATGTGCACACATGGGCCATTCATATCCAACCTATTGTGTGTTGAAGAACCCAGATGTGAGTCAGAGAGAAAACAGTCCTTTGGTCTTTCACACAAACACATACAGACGCAATATATTTCTGTGATTGTAAAAATGTTTGTTCTTCAGTTTTTTACACTTCAGTGATTCAGATCAACAAACATTGAAGTGAAATATTCTAACTTCACACAAAGATAAATTGTGCAAAACAAGATGCACTTTTCAAATTTTGGTTATCCAAACTAACCATGCTCTATGGGAAATAAGAAATTACCTTTTCTTTACAGAAATTATGAATGAGCTGGGATTAATCGCAGTGTTTAGAAAGCTGTGTTCAATTTCTATAGCCACACCAAAGCCAGATTAGTGCCAGACCTTAAAAGTCAAGAAATGATCTAAATAGAACCTTTCTGACAACATGAAGTAGATGATGGAAAAGAGCTCAAAAGACAACACATCTGAAAAAATTCAGAAACAGATTAGAAGCAGTCAGATCATTCTTTTACTCAACAGCCACCCAAACGGCTACAACCCAAGAATACTTGAGAGCCTTTTAAAAACACTTACAGCTGCCTATGTTAATAGTTCAAACAACAGGTGCTTTAATACTCACAATGGAAGCTGTGAGTATTAAATCTTGGCACTAACTTCTAAGATCATCTTTGTCTTTGTTCCTGGAGCTTCAGCCAATGAGACCAAAGAAGAAGGAATGGCTGCTAAGCTGGTTTGCTAACGGCCAGTAGAGTGTCACCAAGCTGGTATTTCAATTTCCCAGCTCTTTTCAGATATTTTAGCAAAACATCTACGAATATGCAAGTTTTCCACAAAAATCTTTGAGATACGTTCCACAGCAAAAGTAGGCAGACTAGGGGGTTGAATACAACCCACTGATGTAACTCTGCCTGACCCCATGACCAATCACTAGTGTATGTAATAAACCTGCAACTAACAGCAGAGGCATGGCTTCATCCTCCAGTGTCTGTTATTTGAAAGAAATCTGTTGATCATCTGAATCTGATTATATTGATAACAGGCTGAGGATAATGTGAAACTACTTTGTTAATGTGAATCCATGTGGACAGGCAAGGAGAATCATAACACAGAGCTCAGCCCTTTTGAAAAACAGGGCTTCCAACTGGGAAACAATTGGCTAATTACTTAGTACGTTCATGCAAACTGACAATGGGGACACAGGTTCTGAACCAAAACACGTGTTAACAGTAACTTTTCACATATTCTCCAATAATTGAAAGTTTATAAATGATACAAAGCAAACAGTTTTTCATTTTATTTGAGATGTTCTTAAACTCACCACCATATGTATGAAAACATAGATTTAGTTTTTTATTCTCAGTCCATGATATTTGATGGAAACCATAATTATTATGTGATTAAAATGCTTATGATGTGTATGAAGGTGCATTGCAACCTCACTGAGAGCAGATCTTCTCTCCTCCAGTCTCTCTTTCACGCCACCTCCCTCCAAAAGACTCATCAGAGCGCGCTGCAGGTGCAGCAGAAGGCTGAGGTTGGTCCATTATTAGAAAAAGTGCATAAAATGATGCATAGTTTTAAGGCATGAGTCCCAAAGGTTTTTTCCTTCCATTCCAGATGATGCTGCAGGCAGGTCACTATGATCCTGAGGCGATCCGAAGCTGTGCTGAGAAGGTGGCTGTCCACTGGCAGCAGCTGATGCTGAAGATGGAGGACCGCCTGAAGCTGGTCAATGCCTCTGTGGCCTTCTACAAAACATCAGAGCAGGTGAGCTGCAGACCTTCACACGCTCACACAGTGTGTGTGTTCTTTCGGTGCCATTTTAAACTGCTGCTCTGTATACCCGTAGGTGTGCAGTGTGCTGGAGAGCCTTGAGCAGGAGTACCGGCGGGATGAGGACTGGTGTGGCAGCCATGAAAAACTTGGGAGTTCAGTAGAGAGTGAGCACCTGCTGCCCCTGATCAGCAAACACCTGGAGCAGAAGGAAGCCTTCCTGAAGGTAAAGAACACATCAGGCTGCTCAGCTCCCTCAGCTTCTAGAGACATACAGTTGATACCAAATATTCACATACACAGAATAAAAAGACACATTTGCCAATGACTGAAGTTAAATCAGACAATTCCCTTGTTAGTTCGAATGACAAAAAAAAATTATATTTGCTAAATTCCAAAAAATGTAGGGAGATTTTATTGTAACTTTCTTCAAACTCATATGGTCAGTATCAGAGATAACTGTCTTTTAAACCAGATGACTTGGGTTAAACCTTTTGGAGTTCCTTCCACAAACTTCTGACATGTTAAATGACACATCTGATTTAATTGAACTAAAGGTGTATTTTAAGGCCACATCTGAAACACACTGCTTTTTTGTTTGACATAACGTGAAGGTCAGAAAATATTAGCCAAGATATCAGGAAGAGAATCATGTAGTTGTGGGTAGATTTAAAAAAGCATGTGTGAGAGAGGCGGCGTACAAACTGATCCAGTTCCACCAGTTCTGTCAGGAGGAATGGACCAGAACTCCAGCAAACTACTGTGAAAAGGTTTGTGGAAGGAAACGCAAAAGGTCTGATAGTAGTCAAACATTAGTCAAACATTTTAAAAGACAATTATTACTGATGCTTATCAAATAGATGTAGAATAAATAGAATTCAAGAAAAATGTCAAAAATAATGTGAGAAAAAAATATTTTCTGTAATTTTGGTCATTCTAACTTAGCTAAAAACAGAAATATTTGATCTCATTGTGAGAATAAAATGTGTTTGCATCTTTTTATTTAGTGGATGTAAATTCCTGGTTTCAAGTGTTCATCCCCGAGTTCCTCCTGCAGAGGTTCTGGTGCAGAACAAATCCTGTGGATATTTACTGGTGTGTTTCAGGCGTGCACGCTGGCTCGGAGGAATGCTGAGGTCTTCCTCAAATACATCCACAGAAACAATGTGAGCACACCTGGAGCTGCAGGCCATGCTAGAGGACCTGAGCAGCAGGTCAAAGGTGAGCTCTGCTGTGGTGCCACAGGGCCCTCTGCCGGTGGAGCGGCAGAAGACGCCTCTCTTCTTTCAAATAAGACTTAAATTGTTGAGATGTGTCATTGTCAGCGTGTTATTGTATGCAGCCATTCTGAATGAGCTGCTGCAGAGGGAAAACCGGGTTCTGCACTTCTGGACGTTGAAGAAACGAAGGCTGGACCAGTGTCAGCAGTACCTGGTGTTTGAACGGAGTGCTAAACAGGTCAGAACTTCTGCATTTGGGTTCTTCATTAGGGAAAAAGAGGAAAGTTCTGAGGTGAGCATATTTACTCAGTTAGGAAAATATCCCACGCTGTGGAAGAATTCTGGCCCGATTCTGGGTTCCCCCATTGCTCACAGTTTGTATTTACTGGGCTTATAAGAAAACTGGTAGTTTTTCAAAAACATATTTAAGGTCTGAGCTTGCAGAAAGAGAGAGATGGACCATAGGTGTAGTCCATCTACACGTATAGTGTGGATGGATAGTGTAAATGGATACATCTACACTATAGAAGTAGTCTCTGTCAGTGCCCTGGCTTCTTTCTCATGCTCTCTTCACTTCAACTTTTCAAGAATCAAGCTCTGTGGAATGAATCATTTCTGACTTGGTTCATTCTGTTTAGAAAAACTGCCCTGCTGAAACACCCAAAGATTACAAATAGTATTCTGCTAGCAGACGTTTGTACTCCAAATAACTTGTGATGCCAGTTCACTCTGTTCAGTCTCCTGGGCTCTATGGAAGACAAACTGGCTCACAGAATGACAGATCCTCCACCATGCCTAACAGTGGGCCTTTCTTCAAGTCATAATTTGTTTCGCCTGCCAAAACGCTCAATCTGACCAACACACACAGTCACAGTTAAAATGCATATTTAAATTTGAGCTGGAAGGACAGAGATATGTCATGTTACGACTCAGGAACACATAGTCACCACAGAAACATAGTGACATTGTTTGCTGTTGCTCATTAACAGAGGTTTAAAGTTTTAAATCAGCAGCCAGTGATTAAAAAATTGTGCTTCCATGTCAGGTCATATTTATACCGCAGGGAAACAAAAAGGTTTACATGAGTTCTCCCTGGAATAATAGGAGAACTAAACAGAGTGAATTATAAATTCTGCAGTTACATTCATTTAAAATGTATTTTTTTGAGGCACCAATAGGGATGCCACTTGGGATTTTATTAAAAGTAAATTATACAGGTGCACCATTAAATCGGACAGATTTTCTTAATTTTTGGAGATCGTTGATCTTCTCTTTGAAGCTGATCTTATCTACCTCAACAAAGGTGTAAAAATAGCCACTGCTGTGCTCTGATGCTGTGAGAGGTTTGACTGACCGACCCGCCACCACGTTATGTCTGCACTGTAAAAAAGCGGATTTAGTTCAGGCTTCATGCTGTGCTTGTCTGTTTGCTCCAAGGCTCTGGATTGGATCCAAGAGACAGGAGATGTTTACCTCACTACACACACATCACCTGGGGACAGCAGTGAGGAAACCCAGCAGCTGCTAAACAACTACCATCACTTCAGACTTTCTGCTAAGGTAAATAGTGTCCTTCACAGGAAGACTTCCCTTTCACAAAGCATTCAAAACAAGTGAGCTGATTCTGGTTCTGAGTTCATGACATGTGATTTGAGAAATTTCTGGTCCCAAATACACATGTAAGATGCTTAAAGCTTGTAATCCCACTCTATAAACCTCCAAAGAAAAGGCTCAAGTCCAGGTTGGACATCAACTTCTTCACAGCAGCCATGCGACTGGTGCCAAACTTGGACTCAGTGTGCACGTTTAGTTACACTCACCAGAATGTTAGTGAGTGTAACAGAGTGTGTCCCTTCCACCCTCAGCAAACCAAGGAAAAGGTAAAGCTTCTGATCCAGCTGGCGGACAACCTGGTGGAGAAAGGCCACGTCCACGTGTTGGAGCTGAAGCGCTGGGTCAGCACGGTGGACCGCAGGTACCGAGACTTCTCCCTTCGCATGGCCAAATACCAGGAGAGCCTGGAGAGGAGCCTGGGCATCAGCTCTGAGGTGAAGGGTCAGATAGCTGCTCACTGTTCACAGAAAAAGATTAGAAATGGCTTCCAGTACTGAGAAAATGTTTCCATGTTCAGGACAACAAGGACCTGGAGCTGGACATCATGCCTGCGAGTTTGACCAACGATCCTGAGGTCAAACTCCGCGATCCAAACCACGAGGTTGATGAGGAGAAGAGAAAGTCTGCCAGAAAGAAAGAGTGAGTTCAGTTCTCTACTTTTAATCATCTGTTCATTCACAGATAAGCAGATGATTCTCTGTGAGTTGGCCGTTTAGCGATCCACTTCCTGTCTTACCATGAACTGATTCAGTCCCAGCACCTTGAAAAGTTTTTATATCCTTTAACATTTCTCATATTCTGCCACATCACAGCTACAAATGTCACTCTATTTTGGAGATTGAAATAAAATATCAATGATACATGTTTTAAAAGTAGCTTACAAATAAATAAGAGATAACTTTTTTCAAAGCTCTCTGCTCTCTCTCTTCCTCATGGAGAGGAGGTTCCTCATGGTCTCTTCTTCTCATCACTTCTTAGGTGATGTGGTGTCAAGGATTTGAATTTAAATGTGGTAAAAACTAGGAAAATAATGATTTGAGGCTGAACAAAACCAAGCCAAATTCCAGCTGCATACATAGTGAGGACGTAGAACTTGTCGACCAATTAGACAGTTTAGGAACAACGATTAAGGAAATGTTTTTAAAAACAGAGAATCAGTTGTTAGAGTTAACAGAGGATTTGACTTCATCCTTCTTTATAGAAAATCTATTTTTCCTCTTTTCTGGCCAAACAATGTTTCTGTGTTATGTTGATCTATTACATAAAATCACAGTACCATAGATGGAGAACTGGTTGCAAAATGAAAGAATGTAAAAATGTTCAGGGGTGTGAATATTTTTGCAAAGGACTGTATTAAAGCATGTGCACTTTGATGCTGCATCTGTTGTTAGCGGGATGTTGATCTCATGTCTGCCTCAGGTTCATCATGGCGGAGCTGCTGCAAACGGAGAAGGCCTACGTCAGGGATCTCCAGGAGTGTCTAGAAGTGAGGAGAAGTGTTAGTTTTTCTTTCTTGGTGCTTACCTGTTGCCATCACCCTGCTGCCTCACTTCTGTGTGTGACAGACCTACCTGAGGGAGATGACCAGCGGTGAAGAGGAGATTCCTCCAGGCATCGCCAACAAGGAGCAAATTATTTTTGGCAACATGCAGGAGATCTATGACTTCCACAACAAGTAAGGCCTGTGCAGCATCTGTGCAGAGCAGCTCGATGTGGAACTTCAGAATCAAAGTTGTCTCTTTGGTAGCACATAACTTACCAAGATCTTCAGGCTTTGGACTTTGGAGGGTTTTTTGAAATAAAAAGTGTTCTTTTCCCTTCCTTTTACACTCTAAAAACCTCATGGGTACCTACTTCTTCTTTTTCTTCTTCTTCTTCTCCAATGAACCTTTGAGGTTTGATTTCCCAAACAGTTCAAGAACTCGCCGAGCTTCCTGGTGGAAGTTTTCTGATTTAACTCTGTACAACATCCAGAAACTTCTGTTGTTCCTGGAGGGAACTTTGTTCTGTCTTTTCTGCTCCATTTAGACATTAGAAAGAAATCTAAGCTCAGATCAATCAGCAAACTTTTCCATGAAGGTCCAACACAACACGGCTTAAACTCAGCATAACATTTGTTTTTTGTTGAAGATCTCTGATGTGTTGCAGTGTCAGTGGTGTGAAATGGCTGATCTTCATTCTGTTCCAGTATTTTCCTGAAGGAACTGGTGAATTATGAGCAGCTGCCGGAGGATGTGGGCCACTGCTTCGTCACCTGGGTGAGACTCCAGTGTTTCAGGCCTGACGTGTGCTTCTACTATTTGTCTAAGTTTGAAGCTCTGCCTCGTTATTGAAACTGTCCCTTTTCTCAGGCTGATAAGTTCCACATCTATGTGGACTACTGCAAGAACAAACCCGACTCCAGTCAACTTATCCTCGAGCATGCTGGCAGCTTCTTTGATGTATGTAAAACCTGGAATAACATTCCAACTCATCCTTGAGTTAAATTTGAAATTTGTCACTGCCTCCGATTCAACCGATCCAGATTCATCCATTGTTAATATGGTTTGATTGCTTATGATGTTCATTGGACGTTTCCAAAGTTCTGGCTCTTGACCTGGTGCCATCCTGACAGTGTGCAGCCCAGTCTGTACCCTTTAAAATGACCATTTTTGGTGTTCTCTTTTGATTTTTGTATACCTTCATTTTAGTGGCCTTGTTTTGTGGTATACTCAGAAGTTTACATATAATGGGCATGAATGGCATATTAGGTTTTGGGTTGGATTGTTTTCAGAGTAATTTGATGATAGAACAAACAACTTCAAACAAGCAGAATTTCCCCCCAGAAGTTTGAATTGACATCAGACAGGTACAGCATTCTCTGTACAGCTCCATTAATATTTCAGTTAATGCTAATTAATAAACTGCTGAGACATCACACACACTTTGCAGATGTCAACAAAAATAAAAAAATAAAAAGCTTCATTCTATTTAGATATTTAAAACAGAATCTTAACCTGCTTTTATTTAGTTTTTTTTTATTATTATTCCAAACTCAGCTTTGGTTTAAATATGGAATCACTCACCTGTTGGAATATCCAAATAGGACCCAAATGTTCACTCAAACTCATACCTCCGATACTGCCATTAATAATTCAAGCTACACTGTTGCACCAATTTTTTAATTAATTTTTTTTAATTATTATGACTTAGCTAACTTAAAACAGCACAACCACAACAATTCTTATATCATCCAAAGTTTAACTCTTGAGGCATCAGTCAGATTTTTCATGTTGATGTGCATGAGAGCAAACTTAAACAGAATGAAAACAGAAGAGGCATTGAACCTGCAGAGGGCAGTAGAGAGAAGGTGAATATTTTTGCTCATCGAGTTCTTCAGGAAACGGGTGAAGTTCAGTCAGAGATCCTGTCCAGAGACAGAATCTAGACTTTGACTTCTCCATTTTAACACATAAATATGCTTTGATTTGAACCCTTATATTTTAGCCATATCTATGTGTTTTTGGGCCATGGTGCTGCTGGAAGTTCAACCTTCAACTCAGTCTTAGTATAGAGTGTGGCAGCAGACACAGTTTGATCTAGACCGTGTCTGCTGCTGATTGTTCTCTAACAAACTTCTAAAGCCGGAAACAAAACCAAATTTTTCAGTTGTTAGTCCATCCATGCATCCATTTCCTTCCACCTTATAATTGCTCTCTGTTTGGTCTCGGTCAGTCAGATAACATTCGACTCAAAGGCATTTAAGTTTGAAAAGTACCAGAGGTAAATATGCTTTAACTAGACATCACAACATTGTTTCAACTTTAGTTCATTCAGAAGGAAAATTGTTTTGTAAAACTATTTATGATACTTCGTGTGCATAAACAGGACATTCAGCAGAGACGTGCGCTGGCAAACACACTCAACTCCTACCTCATCAAACCAGTCCAGAGGATCACAAAGTACCAACTTCTGTTAAAGGTACCTGCAGCAGCTGCAGCACAGCCTCACATATTCACGGCTCATAGAGACGGACAGCAGAAATGCTCTTCTGCTCACTTGTACCACCCTGTTCCTGCAGGAGCTGCTGTCTTGCTGTGAAGAGGGTAAAGGGGAGATCAAAGATGGCTTGGAGGTGATGCTCAGCGTTCCTAAGAGAGCCAATGATGCCATGCACTTAGCCATGCTGGAGGGTAAGGCTGCTTACGCTCTGTTACTGAACAGCTTCACTGGAGCTGATTTGATCTGGCAGTCAGGCTCTGCCTCTGCCTCTGCCACAGGCTTTGAGGAGAACCTGGAGGTTCAGGGTGAGCTGATCCTGCAGGACAGCTTCCAGGTTTGGGACCCGCGCGCACTGATCCGGAAGGGCCGGGACCGACACCTCTTCCTGTTCGAGTTTTCATTGGTCTTCAGCAAAGAGATCAAAGACTCAGCAGGAAGAACCAAGTACCAATACAAGAATAGACTACTGGTGAGCAATGAGTACAGTTTTATGTTGGACCTGCAGGGGTCACCTTTCCACTATTGATTGATTTGTTCACTCCTCGCTTGTTTCTGTCTTGTTTGCAGACAGCAGAGCTTGGGGTAACCGAGCACATAGAGGGCGACCCGTGTAAATTTGCCCTGTGGGCAGGAAGAACCCCGTCTTCTGATAATAAAACTGTGCTAAAAGTAGGTCAAAATCATTTTAACACCGTAATGCTTTGAGACATCATTATGCTCCCTTTAACACAGAAAACATATCTCCTCCAGGCATCCAGCATGGAAGCCAAACAGGAATGGATAAAAAACATCCGTGAGGTAATCCAAGAGAGAATGACTCACCTGAAGGGGGCGCTGAAGGAGCCTCTTCATCTGCCTAAAACACCTGCACTGACTAAGCCCAGGAACTTCACTAAGAGGTCAGCCAGCAGCTTCATTTCCACCTGAATGACTATGAAGCTGCTGGCTTTATTTCCAGCAGCTTCATTTTCTTATATATTAGCTATATCTGATAATCTCAGTAATGATAATATGAGTATGGATTATTGTTGTGATAATAGCAAATAATAGGTTAAGTCTAAAACATAGTGAACAGATCCTCTGTCATGTGGCCTTCTGAAGCCACAGACCTTTAATCCCAACACTTCTGTATGTTTGGCCTCATTCAGGGAGGGAGGGGACGATGGAGACAGCCAGGGAGACGGCAGCAGCCAACCAGATACCATCTCCATCGCCTCAAGGACATCCCAGAACACCATAGACAGTGACAAGGTAGGAAGCCCAATCTGAGCATGTGCGTAAGGAGTCGGCTGACGAAGGCTGGCTCTGTAACGAGCTGATGACCCACAGCTGGGCCTGCACTACAGGGTCTCCTGAGCAGCTACCATAGGCTGCAGCAGGGGCAGAGTGTGTGTCTGTGGTAACAGGACTGACCGCGTATGGCAGCACTGTGACTGGGTTCAAGGAGCTGCATGTTTCAAAAGTACTGAGTAATGTGAATATGAAGAGCGATGAAGACTCTATTCAGGTTGTGTTCCGGTGTGTGTGCCGCTGACGCTGCGTGCCAACCAGCCGCCCACTTCCAAGTAAGAGGTGCTGCATTTACAGTGTGTGCTCAACTTTAACATAACTAATTTAATCCTTTAAAATTGTTTGGGAATAAAAAGTAAAACTTGTTTTGTTGTAAAGCTATATATAATTTTTGAAGGTTTTTAATAAATGACATTTGAATCATTTGTCATTAGTCTTAAGCTATTTAACAAGGTGTCAACATCCATAAACTGACCAAACGGGTTGTTTGGTGAGAACTTATTCAGGATTTTCAGGATTTGAAGCAGGGCCCTGACCTCTTCGTACTACTGCTACTACTACTACTGTGTGTGTGCTCGCATGCACACGCACAAACACACAGTCACTGGAGTTCTGCTATAACGTGGCCTTTTCACAGTGCAACCCCACGCCTACACACTGTCTTTCCTAAAATGTCAGCAGCCACCGAGCTGCCACACACACACACACACACACACCCCCACACACACACACACCACACACACACACACACACACACACACACACACACACACACACACACAAACAAAGAATGGTCCCAGCAGTCCAGCTTGTGTTGTTTTTACTCTCTGTGTCTCAGTTTACAACTGTTCATTTTGTCCATTTCTACTAAATATTTTTAGGTCTAATTTGTAGCATGAGGCAAGTTTCCTCATTCTTGGTGTTTTTATTCGGCATCGTAAAAATGGAACTTGTCTGCCTCTCTTCCCAGTGGAATAAGGAATTTCTCTGCCACTTTGTGTGGGTGTGTTGTTACTTTACTCTGCTTTATTGTTCTGTGGATTTGGAAAATTCCATCTTCCTATTCTTGGATCCACCTCTGATGTTTTCCTGAAAACCAGTTTTGTTGTGAACTTTGTTTACAGAGATCCTGTTTGATTTTTGCCACCGCAGTTAAAGCTCTGTTTGTAGATGGATTGTGGTGAAACAGTTGTGACCTCTGTTCATGCATGATGCTTACTTGCTGTGTGAGATGGGAACATTTAAAGCTCTTACTATGTTTTATGCATATGTTCTCAATGATCCTATCATTGGAATTTTCTAATGTTGAATTTGAATTATATTTTCAGGTAAAGATATAAAGGTTTTGAACTGCATCTTTAATTTTGGGGCATTTCTTAAAGAAGAAAAATAACTATTTTGGATTTTTTTTAAAAAGGTACAAAAGAATTGTGTAATGTACTTTATTGAGATGTTGTAATTGTAATGACTATAATTAAAATGACAAGCATGCACATTCAACAACTTGGAGATTGTAAAGTCTTATGGCTACAAGCAGAAAAGATTTTCGGTGTCACTCTGTGTTGCACTTTGGTAAAACGAGTGTCTGGCTGAAGCTGCTGTTTCTAGCCAGTATATCATGAAGTGGATGAGGCTTGTTGTCCAAGATGGCCTCCATGTTGGACAGGATCCTTCACCACTATAAAATGTTTACTAGCAAAGTATTTACTAATAACTTGGAAGGTATAAGACATATGTTAGTTTTACCTGTAGTTAACTTGCTGATTGAGTTGTGACGCTTTTGTTTTGAGGGACAATTTTCTGTTTGACTATTAGCACAAAGGCAACTTAACAACAATGAACGAACAGAAAATAAATTGTAACAGAGCTTTTAATATGTATATTATTAGCGTCAGGCTTGATAAAGACAAAAGGTTAATTTATTTCATACATAAGTACTTGTTTTAGATGATGTGATTTAAACTGTGCATTTGCTTAATTATATGTCAAAACTAGAGTTATCTTGCATTGTGAATGTCATTTTAAATTAAAATCAATAAAGTAGTACTTTAGTGTATGCTACAACTAGTGGCTTGACTTGAAACAACACTTTACAATAGTCTATTAAAGGCCTTTCTGTCCAACTTGGATGAATAGAGTCCAGGTCAGGGAAGGTATCGCTGGTATTTATTGTTTTAATGAATTGATTTCAGTTACTTCTGCAAAGTTCCTCTAGTGTACAGTCTACACATCTGCACCAAGTGGTCAGATTTGTGTAATCTTTGTTTTTTTTCTGTAAAAAAAAAAAAAAAAAAAAAAAAACAGTCAGAAAAAACTGTAGGATGGAAAATATCCTTTTAATTTGACCCCTGCTGGGTCTAAGGCCAGTCTGCCTTTTATGTAGTGTTAATACTTTAATGTGATTGCACACTGTTTAGCATAATATGATTTAATAGGCATCTGAATTAGTCATTAATTAAATGTAAAATAAAAATTGTATGAAAATATGTTCTGACTGATTAAAAAATGTTTGGATCCCAGATTGTTTGGGTGATGGCGGTAGTAAACCTCTTGCTATTTTAGTTTGGGACCTCAAAAAGAACAAGTAGCATTATTTTTATTTGAATGGCAGGTGGGGGTCAGAGAGTCCAACAGGGGGCGCCGCTGCATGGCATACTGCCCAGGTGGCTACGATCTAGTAGCTTGCCTACATTAGCATGCAGATCTGTGTATGAATGAAAGTAATGTGAAGCACTGGACAGGGCATTGATGCCTTTGAGGCTGGATACTTTGTTTGATTTCTGTTGTTCTTGTCTGTTTTTCTTAATTCCCATTAGGATCAGTTCTCTGCGAGTCCAGACGATCGCTACTGTTCTGGACTTTCACCCAATCTACTTCTCTCTCTTTCCCAGTTTATGTTTTTGTTGCCTCTCTCAGGCTGCCTGCACACAAACATTGAGGTTCTGCTTTCAGAAACATTCCTTGTGCTTTATGTTCTCTGGTTTCACTTCTCATCTCTCCTCCTCCTATAAAAACAGCCCAGCATTGGTCCAGTCACATGTTCCACTGTCTGCCTTTCCAGGGTGTGTGTGTGTTTAGGGTGAAGCTACTGTTTCTGGTGGTTTTGGATGACAAATGTCTTGTATATATATTTTTTCTCTTTTTATTTTTTCTCATCTCCTTATTCTTTTAGCTTAAAAATATAATACATTTTATTTGTAGGTGCCTTTCTTGACACTCAAGATCACCTTACAAAGATTAACATAAAACAGGCGTAATATTGAAATGCACAGTAAAATTAACAGACAGATCTTTAACTGTACTGTCTCCAACATTTTCTGTCCAATTAGCACATTTTAATTGATTTTCCACTTAAACTGATACCTTTGATAGGATGGCAGTTTTAAATTAGAGCAGTAAAGCAAAATTATTTCACTAGAACAGAGATGTGGTGTGATTCATGTAATGTTCAGCAGGACAGACACTGCGACCAGAAAGAGAAGTTTGATCAAGTAGAAGAACTCATTTCTGTACTTCCAAGCTGTTTTGGCCTTGGTGTCATCCCAACAGTGAACTGAAGTTCAATTTCCTTCAAAACTTCACAAAAAATATCTTAACCATTTAAGCATTATTCTGATTTGCATTTTAAAGCTGATTGAAATAGTTTCCAGTGTCCTCTTCACTCATAAACCACAACAGTGTGAGTGTTGGCCGCATTGTGTGTTTGGGTGGCAAACGAAGAGATCACTTGATAAAGAGCAGCTAAGTTTGTTACTGTTTTTATTGCCAGTTGTAATAACACTAGGAGAAGAACTGTGTCATTTCCTGCAGAAATTAGGCAGGTATACATTTGCTGGTTTGATATCCAGTAGTTCTTGTTCTGCCTGTAAATACTTCTCCAAATAAACCTAATGTCACCTTTATTAAAATCTGTCTCATTGGCAACAACTTTATTTCACTGGAAATCCAAATACTAACATAACAATTTGCAAAGACAGAAGTTATTTATTTCAGAATTAATATATCTCAATATACATTATGATATAATGTATATTATATAAGACAGACGGTGCAAAAAGGTTTGTTGGAAGTTCGTATGTTACTGGATGAAATAACAAAAAGCAAAAAAATAAATTCTCAAAATTCTACACAGCTTGAAAAACGTCAGTGTGATATTAGTTGTATTATTATAAATCAACAAAACTTTGATATATTTACACTGTTCCAAAAAATACACAAAAATAACACATCCTCAATCTGAATGAATAAAATAAATATAAAAATAATTTCCACCTGTTGTCTGTTCCATTTGCACAACAGTGGACAAACTAAGTGGACAGTTTGATTTCACAGAAGTTTGATTTACTTGAAGTTATATTGTGTTGTTTGAGTGTTCCCTTTATTTTTTTGAGCAGTATATATATAGATGTGGGAATGTGATGCCCAAGCTGAAGAGGTTCTCTGTTCCTTTGATCTGCTAGTTGTGTTGACCCTTAAGCAGCCGACAAGATGGAGGCAGACAGCAGTGCAGCCATGTATAGTGCAAACAAAGGATTAGTCTCGGAATTGTTGACACATCTGTCATAATCATAATGAAAATCTCTGCTGAAATGAACTCATTTTAGACTGCAGCCACTGCTGACCTTCAGGCTAACCTAAAACATAGTTATGGTTCTTTACTTGTTAAAAATTGTCATTATTCACAAAAAGAAGTACAGAAAAACAACACATTTTTCTCAGCATCCTGTGGAAATGCTGCTACATTTGAAAAACTTTTCAGAAGTCCTTCTATAAAAATGGAATGGATGAAATTGATTAGAGTCAAAATATCAGTTTTAAAATCAGGAGGACAAACTTCAGATTTTGCTCCCTTCGTTTAGGACACAAGCAGATGTTGATGGGAACAAAGGGTGTGGTAAAAAACTAAAACTATAATTACTTTGCAATAATTTTTTATCTTTTTTTTTTTTTTTTTTTTTTTT